TTCCAATTCATTCCTGTGCTCCTCAGTTCCTCAATTTGAGTTTTACACTTTTTGAAAAAGCCCCCTGTATTTGGGTAACTTGGCAATGTCTTAGGAGTGACAATGGCGAAATTTCACTCGTTAATTATATCAGAAATTTGAGATAATTTCTGGCATTGTTTCTCCATAACATCAATTAAGTTTATCAGATGATCTGACAAAGTAATTGAACGTTAATGAGCAGTTGGTGAATTATTATTATCAAGTTCAGCAGTATTTTCACTCTCATTCACCGCCCCTGAAATCGCAACAACTATCAAAATAAAGTCTTCCAGTTTACTCTTACAATGTTCTGCAACTATTGTATCTTCATTCAATATTGCTTGGGAAATTTTTTCAAATAAGGTCTTTAAATTCATAAAAAAATTCCTGAGTTCTTCAAGGTTTTCCGCCATTTTGTAAAATGTTGTTCTAATGTATCCGTTACACAAAGTATTTAAAATATAAGTTTTGCAACCGCTGTCCCCAGATAGCCAGTCAGAAATCCCGACGTGTGGTTGATTTTCTCAACTAGCGCTACTTTTTTTCGACTAATACTATTTTTCAGGTGTCGTTTATAATTTTCAACTTCAGTTTGAAACAAATTTGGACATATGCTTGCTTTTCTCATATGTCACTGATGATTCTCGACAAGCGGTTGGAATTGTCGATACACTTTTGTTATGTTTGGCGTGCCATACTACACAACACTTTTTTGATAGATATTTTGAAGCTGATAGAGAAAAATACAAAAATATGTTAGCTGAAATAATGATGGAAAATTATAGTAACCAAATTAAAATCACACATTACAGATTGGAAAAAGTGATCACAGAAAAAATGGTAAAGGAATTGGAGGAAAGACTTCAAATTGCTGAAGAAAAGAATGAAAATTTTGTGGAAAGAGAATAAACATTATTACTTACTATCAAAATCAACAATAAAAAGCTAGAAGAAATGAACACACTGAAGAAATTAAATGAATCATTTCGTGAAGATTATTTTCATGAAGAAAAAAATGAATTGATTGTTAGAAATAAATTATTGACAAAAAAAACTTGAAGAAAAAGATATAACTATATATAAGTAGAAAATTTTATTATAATTTTTTATTTGAGATGGGTGATGTTTACGAAAGTTTTACACTTGATGCGTTAAAAAAATTATGTAAAGATATTCAAAATGAAAATAAAATTTTAAGAGAAAAACTGCATTATATTCAAGATTATGAACATGATGCAGAGAAATGTAGAAAACTTCAAGAACAAAATTATCTTTTAGTCTCAAGATGTAAAGAATTACAAGAAAAAATTATGAATTAATTACTTTAAATCAAGCATATAAAGCAAGAATCGATGTTTTGGAAAATGAACATTTTTTCCTGAGTTCATTTGGAAAAATTTTCCTTGTAAAAATTTACAACAAAAAAATGCAAAGCATCCTAATTAGTAACTTCTAGACAGTCACTAATGTCAAACAAATTGAAAAGTCAAGGTTATGCTCTAAATTTAAGCAAAAATTAGTATCAGGTTGTACCAAGTACAATCAAGGGCAATCATACCATAAATGGATAAATGAAAGAAAATGCAAATTCGAGTATTATATAAGAGCATACTTGTTAAAAAATTTTTTATTATCAAGGAAATGGAATCAGATGAATTATACAAAAGTTTTTTTTTTTTTGAAAGATGCAAGAAACAAAAAACGTTTTGAAATATTTATAGAGAGAAATAAAGAAAAAATTCAAAAAAAATATCTTTCCAAACTTATTTTTCAATTTCATCCGCAAATATGCATATAACTTGTGCGGTGTATGGTTGTGGAAATAGTACAAGAAATGGAAACTTTTCATGGCACCGGGTAGGCAAAATAATATTATTGAGCATGCTCAAAAAAAAGCACTTCGTTTTTGTAATTTTGTCGTTTGATAGCGTGATACCATTTGGTTTGTAGTTTTTTTAATTTTTTAAAGCATAATCTTTAATTTAAATTGTATTTATCTCTAACTTGCTGCTCATTATAGCTTTCCAGATGCAGCAAAACACCCACATCTTTTGGAGATGTGGGTGTCTAGCATTAAGCAAAACTCTCGAACTATGAACGAGTTTGCCCCAAAGAAATGGAGTCGGATTTGTTCAGAACATTTTTCTGACCATATAGAGGAAACAGTCAGGAATAGAGTTGTGTTAAAACCGAATGCGGTGCCAACTATATTCAAAAATGCTGTGGTATGTATCATACAATAGAAGTATCTAAATTTATAATGTGTCCTTCAAGCTTTTTGTTTTTGCACAATTTGACAGAATGTAGATTACAGTGATGAAGGGGCTAAAGGTTTACTAGATGCTGCTAGTTATATAGAAACAAAACTTAATATTCCTGTGAATGAAGTATGTATTGGAAAATCTATTTTAAGTGAGGGGGTTGAATTTCAAAAAAGCCTGGTGCCCATGCCAGATATAGTCATGGATGATCAAATAAATTTGACCCAGGATCACTGTACTATTAAAGAACATGATAATCAGGTGATCAATTTCTACTGTTTATTGCATGATCATGCATACAGTTGTCAATCTCCTGAAGTGTCAGTTACAGGAGGTCATTGAGACAGCTGAGTCACTTAAGAAAAAACTTAAGAACTGCAGGATGCAAAATGGTAGACTGAGAATGAAAGTCAATGATATGTCTTCTGTTGTTTCAAGTTTAACAGAGGAAGGTTTCAATGTAGATCAGGCTGAAATTCTTAACAATACCCTTTCAGGAGTGTCAAGGGATATATTGAATAGGTTAACACATGAAGATAAAACACGTGTTTCCTACCCTACTGAGCTAAGATCATTTGCTCTTACATTGAAATTTTATTCCAGGAAAGCTTATGACTATGTACGAGAAAAGTTTAATTTAGCATTGCCTCATCCAAGAACAATCCGCACTTGGTATAATCCAATTGATGGTGATCCAGGATTCACTCGAGATGCATTTGTTACACCGAAATTTAAGGCTGAAGAAGCAAAAAAGTAAGGAGAATACCTTCTATGTGCCTTAATGTTGGATGAAATGTCAATTCGCAAACATGTTGAGTTTGATGGAGACAAAGTCTTTGGCTTTGTTGACATGGAAACTGGCACAAATGATGATGACGCACTGCCTGAAGCAACAGAAGCCTTAGTATATATGGCTGTTGCTCTTGATTCTTCGTGGAAAGTTCTTGTTGGTTACTTTATAACTGATGGCATTTCTGGACAGATGAAAGCTGACCTGTCTACAGAATGTATTGCCAGACTACATGATGTTAGTGTCAGAGTCACCAGCTTAACTGCTGATGGTCCATTTTATCATCAAACAATGATGAAGATTCTACGAGCAAAACTCTCTCCAGATAATTTTCAAGCATACTTTCTGCATCCATGTGACTCACGTTTAAAAATTTATACTTTTGTCACATAATCACATTGGTATGTCACATAATCAAATTGGTGAGAGGTGCATTGACCCAATTGGGAGAATCAAAGGATGCAAATAATAACCTGATAAGGTGGGATTATTTGATTAAACTAGTTGAGCTGCAGGAGTCAGAGGGTTTGCGCTTAGCAAACAAGCTTCACTCCTGTCATATTCATTGGCATTCACAAAAAATGAAAGTCAATCTAGCTGTGCAAGCACTCAGTTCTAGTGTTGCTGATGCATTAGAATATTGTGAAGGTATGTTAAAACTTCAACAGTTTAAAGATGTGGTGCAACTGCGCACCTTATTCGTACATTTGATCGCTTGTTTGATGTTCTTAACTCCAGAAATCCCATAGCTAAGAACTACAAGGCACCTATTAGAATGTGTAATTATACGTACATAAAGGATTGTTTAAATCAAGCTGTAGATTACATAAGAGAATTGAAGACTGCTGATGGCAAGTCAATTCTCTTGCATAAGAAAAAAACTGGATTTCTCCGATTCCTCATGAAATCGTCCTTTAACGGCCTCAATGCTTTAACGGCATTGAGGCCGTTAAAGAATTAGCAGACAAACTCGCTGTTTCGGAGAAACCAGTTCTCAGGTATTTGTTGACGTACAAAATGAGTCAAGATCACTTAGAGCTTTTCTTTTCAGCTGTACGAGCGGCGGGTGGATGGAATAACAATCCAACACCACGTCAGTTTAAAGCTGCATACAAGCAACTATTGATGAGACATAACATCAAAGGAGGACATGGAAACTGTATTGCTCAAGATAGCACTGAAATCTTGACAAAAGTAAATGATCGTTGCGAGACAAATGAAATATCGGCAGATATTTCCGATGTGACAACGGCAAGACGATATGATATGAAGTTGCGACAACCAATTAAGGAAGAGCATGACTATTGTGACGTTGCCCAACTTCATTGCTCTGTCTGAGTATAAGGAAGCAGCTATATCTTACATTGCTGGCTATGTTGTTAAAATGGTTGCAAGAAAGATCACTTGCCAAGATTGTATTGCTGCTTTGTATACATCGAAAAACAGGGCTCCAGACCTCTTTGTGTCTCGGAAGAGTCATGGTGGCCTAAAAATACCAACAGATGATCTTCTAAAAGTGTGTCATGAGACCGAGAAATGCGTTATGCCAATGATTAATTCTTGCAACGGAAGTTTGCCACATTGTTCGCATATCACAGGTGCAATTTCCAACACTGTTTTAACTGAATGTGTGGAGAGAAAAGTTTTTAGTTCATTGAACCAGCATGTACTTGATTTTGTTGTTACAGAAGATCGTATCTTAAAGTTGATTAAATGTTGTTGTGAAGCATTCGTGAAGATACGAATGCATCATCTGTGTAAGACAGAGAACGATAAAATTCAAGGAAATAAATGCTAGGTTTTACAGTGAAAACATTCAAATACATTTGAAGTCTGCAATAGATAATATTTTCCAATTGCAGCATATGAAGAAGGCACTACAAGTGTGGTGGGGACTGGTGGTGGTCCATCCCAAAGTATGACATTAATCTTTTTATACAGAATATTTTTAACCTTACTTGATTTACATTATTGTAATACTTTATTATTTTACAGATAGAAGAAACAAATTTAATGGTATGGTGTAATTTATTGCAATTCATTAAAGACTTTGTAGCAATAACTTCTATTTTAATAGACAATATTTTCCAATTGCAGCATATGAAGAAAAAAGTACTACAAGTGTGGTGGGGACTGGTGGTGGTCCATCCAAAAGTATGACTTTAATCTTTTTCTACAGAATATGTTTAAAATGTTTTGAAATATAAAAATTTTTTATGACCTTACTTGATTAATAATATTTTAACATTGTATTACCTTTGTTACATTAAAGATAGAACAAACAAATTTCATGGTATGGTACATAATATCATAATTTGTTAAATACTTTGTTGTAAGAATTACAATTTTTTCAATTTCAATAGGCAGATGTCAGAAGTGTGGTCTTATTGGGCACTACATAACCGAATGCAGAGCAAGTAGGTTCCCATTTTTGTAGTATAGACTCTTGTTTTTAATATAACAATCTGAAACATTAATATTTTTTAGGAATGATGTGTCGATATTGCAAAAGAGAAGGCATGTTAAACAAATGTGCCCTATTTTAAGCAGAAAAATTTTGTCTACTCAAAAAAGAGTAACAAATGTTTTCAACAATTGCCAATTTAAAGGCAAATTATGGAGTTCATTGAAACACAAAGTTAATAGTGTTATTATTATATCTGCTTATTATATTTTATTGGACATTACAATTTATCTTATTTATATTTTTACATCTTTCTTTTAATATATATTGGATTCATTTCTACCTTGGCAAGTTCATTTTCTTTTTCAATTTCCTTTGATTGTACTTGGTACAACTGCTTTAACAGCATACTGTTATAATAAGATAAAAATCAACATTGACACAACATTTAATACATACATATTATTTTATGGATTGCTTTTACCTTTTTGCCAAAATTCAGAATTTTCACCAAATAGTTCTATATTGCATGAAAATGTTATTCACTTAATAAATCTAAAAAAAATCAAGTTTAGAGTAAGTTTATTGGTTTACTTGAGGCTAATATCCGTTAAAGGCACCTGTTTTTTGTTTGCATTATAGTTCACTACGGTGCTCGCACTCAAACTAAGTTATATCGTGAGAACAATGGTTTTACTTTATAAAAACCTCTCATGAGCCGTTTGATAACAGGTATTTGCCCAAATTTTAAATTATGACTAATCAATTTAACCAAGAAAGATAGTTAAAAGAAAATATTTATCAACATTTGTAGTTAAGGTGAGTATTGGTGTTTTTAAAAAAAGTTAAATATTGACATCTTTGATTTTCGCAGGTTTTAATCACCAGCTATATAAAAAGCATGTTTTCCTCAATGATTTTGGCAAATATATTAAAATTTTTCATAATCAATAATAAATACTAAAATTTCAAAAGTGTTAGGCAATAGCCAAGTGTATTAGTTGAAGCAACATGATACAGTGATGCTTCTATGGCCTTAGCCATTTCATTAACATCATGCAGGTTTTCCCTCACTGACAGCCCATAATCATTCTGCAAAATATCTATATTGCTATCAGTTAGTCTTTCTTTACCATGTAATCGCTTTCCATCACACAATTCAATGCCTTTTTTTTCACTTTTTAGTTTCCGCAATTGACTGTCAACTGTTTTCTGGACATGTCCAATGCATTCCAGTTTGTTTGGTATGCATTGTTCACCTTAAGGCTTGTTTTCCACTATAGTGTTAAAAGTAGAGAAACCCCATCTCCAAGCATGTGTGTATATTTCAGTCCTCTAGTAGATAGAGATCTTTGAAATATATGCAAAGCACCTGTTGCCTCCATACTGTTGGAAACTTCCACATGATTAATCTTGCAGCTGTGTGAAGCATTCCATTCTACAAATCTAGGGTCATCTTTCTTTTGCCATTTGAGATGTCGGGTACACTTGTCTGACATCACTTCAATATTGAGGCATTTCTTTGAGTCTAAAGAGATTGCTGTCACAACACCAATGTGAGAAGCATGACCTTACTTTTGATGGCAAAGAAAGATGGGTATTTTAGAATGATATCAAACCTAAAAGAGCTCAACACATTTGTAACATATCACCACTTTAAAATGGAATCTATCCATACTTGTACTCAGCTCATGCGACCTGGGTGATACCTGGCATGCGTTAACCTTAGAGATGCCTATTACTCAATACCAATACACATAGAGCATCAAAACTACTTAAAACTCATGTGGGAAGGTAATCTGTACCAATTCACATGCCTTGCTCAAGGATTATCTTCCACTCCACATTTATTTACAAAGATACTCAAGCCTGTATATTCTAAACTGAGGCAGCTTGGGCACATTTCTAGCGGTTACATTAATGACTCTTTTTTAGTGGGCTACTCCTATTCAGAATGTGAGCAAAACATGCATGACACTCTACAATTGTTTCAGAAGTTAGGATTCCTACCCCATAAAGATAAATCTGTTACGAAACCCACACAGATTTTACAACATTTAGGGTTTGTGTTAAATTCAATAGATATGACTATCTCTATATCCATAGAGAAACACAACAAATTATGCAAGGTTGCCAGGGGGGGTGCTAAAATCTGATTCTCCTAGCACACGGGAAGTGGCCAAGTTAGATGGTATGATGGTAGCTTGTTTTCCTGGCATTGAATATGGCCCACTGTTTTATCGTGATCTTGATAGGGGCAAAGCAACAACTTATAAGTCTAACAGGGGTAACTTTGATGCGACATTGAAACTCTCCCCTTCGGTGCTGGAGGACAGATTTTGTTGGATTATTAAAGCATATGAGTCCAAAAAAACATCTGAATCACAGCAACATTGACAACATATTGTATACAGATGCCTCTACCAAGGGATGGGGTGCAAGTATTAACAGACAGTCCACCGGAGGCGAATGGTCAATCGCTGAAAAAGACTCGCCCATTAATAGTCTGGAACTCAAACCAATACTGTTTGGGCTACAATCTCTCTGTAAAGATCTAGTCCACACCCACATTAAAGTAATGACTGACAATACCACTGCTCTTGATATATTAACCACATGGGGAGCTGCCACTCTCACCATTGTGATAAAATTGCAAGGGAAATATGGGCGTGGTGCTGAATCAGGGACATATGGCTAACTGTCAGCTATATCCCTGGGAGACTTAATGCGTGGACTGACAAACCTTCCAGAACATTTGATGATTCCAAAGAATGGAAGCTTGATACTGAATTATTTCTTGAAATAACAGCATATTTTGGGAACACAGAAGTCGACATGTTTGCTTCTAGACTAAACTATCAACTTAAACCCTGTCTCATGGCACCCAGATCCACAGGCGTGGGCTATTGACACTTTTGCATTAATTGTAGTAAATTGTTTCTTTATGCTTTTCTATGGAATGCCATAGCTGTCTTATATGATCAGTTTTCAATATATGATGATGAAACTTCATTATATGATGATGAAACTTCATTATATGATGATGAAACTTCATTATGTGATGATGAAACTTCATTATATGATGATGAAACTTCATTATATGATGATGAAACTTCATTATATGATGACGAAACTTCATTATATGATGATGAAACTTCATTATATGATGATGAAACTTCATTATATGGTGATGAAACTTCATTATATGGTGATGAAACTTCATTATATGGTGATCAAACTTCATTATATGATGATGAAACTTCATTATATGATGATGAAACTTCATTATATGATGATGAAACTTCATTATATGATGATGAAACTTCATTATATGGTGATCAAACTTCATTATATGATGATGAAACTTCATTATATGATGATGAAACTTCATTATATGATGATGAAACTTCATTATATGATGATGAAACTTCATTATATGGTGATCAAACTTCATTATATGATGATGAAACTTCATTATATGGTGATGAAACTTCATTATATGGTGATGAAACTTCATTATATGGTGATGAAACTTCATTATATGGTGATGAAACTTCATTATATGATGATGAAACTTAAAACTTGTAATCTTAGCCGGATAAACCTTTAACCTTCGCAAACTTCCTTTCTTAATTCTTATTTGTGTTACAACAAACTTCCGTTCTTTCGATTTTATCATTCAATGATTAACAGCAATTCGCACTTGTTTGCATTATTTGCGCTGTTCGTTAGTTCGTGGGCCGTATTTAAGACTTAAGACCACTGTTGAAAAATGGACAAAATTTTAGATGACGCGGGGCTTTCTGCATTGCGTGAAAGATTTCAGGAAGAAAGAATTGATCCTGAAATCGTGATTTCAATGTCTGATGAGGAATTATCTCGTCTTGGCGTATCTACGATGGGTGATCGTATTCGTTTGCGTTCTGCGTGCCGAGGAAAAGGGGGTTTTGAAGTCGAAAACACCTCCCCGTCTATCTCCACTGTCTCAGCAGCAACCGTTGCGTCGGAACGTGCCAGATTGTTCAATCCTCGACAAAGAGGGTCGAACAGAAAGAGAAAAGCTCCCCAACGTTCTGGTCGCACGTGGACGGCTCAGTTCATTTGTTAGGCTAATCGCTTGCAAACCGTCATTCCAAGTGCAAGTGAGAAACAAACTTTGAATGATGCTGGTTTGGGTTTGAAAAAAATAAAGTTTTCTGCTGAGGATGACGAAACGCAAGTTGCCGAGAAAATCATGTCTAAAGATATTGTTAATGATGAGACTCTTGGTTTCTCACAACTGAAAGAAGGTGGCGGTTATGAGTTGTTACAATGTCAGTCGAGTAGCAGACAATTGACAAAGATCAAATGCCATTGGTCAGCAAAAGATCTGAAGGCTAATCTTGGGGCTCAGTCTAAGATTTACATCAGACCAATTCAAAAAAATTTGTCAACTGAGTCAAAGAAGCCGGGAAGTGTAAATCACATCACGCAGGCTTGTGAAATGTGCCAAAAGAATTTCCTATGCACGAGTTGAGAAATCACTTGTATACATGTACATCAGGCTTGTTTGACTCTGACTCTGGTGAGGGAATTGTTTCAGCAACAGAATCAGGGTGTGAAGAGAAGTGCTGCTGTTACTATTGAAGCAGAAGGCACAAGTGCAATAAATGCAAATGTCCATGTAGAAGGGAATGTAGGGGGAAGTAACACCGCACCAGAAGTTATAAATCTTGAAAACATTTGTGAAAACGTTAATACTGTAGAAGAAATAATGCCAAATATGGAAGGAAAAGCTGGGATTGACTCAGTCATTGATGTAATTGTTGATTATTGCCATACATCTAATACCTTTACCACAAAAGAAGTTGTTCGGTTACTGCAGACCAGGTTGATACGAGGTCGAAGTCTGGAAGTTGAAAGTGAAGATGTCTGCCCAGAAGGAGCTACAAACTACATTCTGGTTGATCGGCACAATCTTTTGGAAACAGGCATAGAGGAAATTTCGGGACTGGAGGATCCTCTTCTTACCTTAGATGTTCAGTTTTATGGAGAGGTAAATCAGTGATCTCCAATAATGTTTAAGGTTTTTGTAATATTTCCAACTTTGTCATATTTTGTAACAATTATGCATTTTAGCAAGCTGAAGATTATGGTGGACCACGTAAAGAATTTTTTCGTTTAATTTTACTGGAAATAAAAGAAAAATATTTCGAGGATGGCATTCGAGAACTTCTGGCTGATGAATACACTACCATTGGGACAATTATGGGTAGGTATATTGATGAAATTGGTACTTTTGTTCATTATTTTTACGTTAAAATGATTTCAATGTTTCACTTTTAAGGGCTGAGTATATTGCAAAATGGAAAGCTTCCTCAGTTTTTGTCAGATTTCATAATGCATGAGATATTCATACAAGAGCAAAAGTCCGAGTGCATCAAAAATTTAATTTGGGGTCTTAAAAAAGTTGCTATATACCAGGTATGTTGTCTTAAAATCAAGTTTAAATTTCAATTTAATGTGATCTTTTTTAACTATCAATTTTTTAATAATTGCAGATTTGTTGTAAAATACCAACTGTACAAGAAATTTTCAAGCCGAACCCATTTAGCAAGTTAACATTAAAGAAGATAAATGCACTTCTTGTTCCTTATCTTAGCCCTGTTGGCTCAAACCGAAGGAAATATGAAACTGAAGTTTATACATTGTTTAGCAAGTACATGAAAGAAATTGCTGGTAATTTATGTACCAAATTTCAATTTCCATATTGGTTATGCACTTGTATGTTGCTATATGTATATATATATACTTGTCAGATCTTTTTGTAGCTGGTCGAAGAGGAGACATCAAATTAGAGTGGATTTTGAGATTTGGGACCGCCACAGATGAAGAGCCATTGCTGGGATTTAAACTTGCCCCAAAAATAAGATTCACTGAGATGACAAACTCTTTTCTACCAACAGCCAACACTTGCATAAATGTAATTACAATTCCCTATGCTTCAAACAACACTCAGCAATTACCAGCTGCTGAGGTTCTGTTTGCATTATATGATGAGGCATTTTCTTCTGCTCACTTTGGACATATTTAATTTCATATCATATTTGCATCAATATCAAATAATAAAAACATGCACATGTTTTACTGTTGATAACCATAATATCTGTTAATTATTTGACAATTTTGAATGTATTGGTCAATTTTATAGTTAGCTGGTTCTGGTGGCACTTGGTTTAGCTCATTTATGCATGCTTCACTTAAATTGAGAGCAGGTGGGGGGAAAATAGGCCTGCTTTCTTGCTCATCATCATTTGTAATGGCAATGTCACCATCCACTCCATATTCATTTAAATTTGGAATGGGAATATTTATTCCAATTGGATTTTGCTGCTGACCAGCAATCCACAGCCGTAATGGACTAGTCTTGGTTGATCGCATTCGATGATTTGCCCATGCTCTTTGCCAGATGTGAAGTTTCTCATTAATATCATTCATATAAGTATAGTGCAATGCAGCTATGTGATTTTCATTAAGGGGATCAAGTAGGTTTTCATCTTCCAAGAAATAGAACATATGGTAAAAGAAACTCAGCACACCTTGAAAAACATCCCTCCAAAGCCTCTCGATCCTTTGATTATGAGTACTCTTTCCTGTGATTATACTACCACGATTGCTTCCTCTTTTTTCAATCATGTAATCAGCAATTCTCACATTTTCCATACCCTCATCTGTTCGAACCCGGCTTGGCAGACCAAATTCACCCACAGCATTTAGAAAACACCCAAGGACTGTATCTGCTCTATTGTTATTGGTACAGTCAAGCATCACTGGTAATCTACTGAAACCATCAATTGAACCAACAATAACAAAATGCCATCTTACAAGTTTATGATTCGTATCAACGTGCCATAAGTGCTTTGGTCCTTTCACATTATAAACTCGACGATGCAACCTCCTTTTCTTCCTATCATTCACACCATAACTATCAACGCGATGTATGGCGTCACGCAATCGTCCTCGCTGCACCTTGATGCCTTTGCCAACCAGAAATTGTTTTATCATTGTTTCTCCGCAAAAGGGAAACTCCAAAATGATTTCACGTACACGGCTATCTAGCATGCCATCATCTATTTCAGTAAATTCATACTTGCTAAGTCCATATTCACGCATACGTCGATAAATTGTAGACTCTGAGACTGATAGCAATGTAGCTATTTCACTAATAAGAAATCCGTCGTCAATGTAGCTTTCTAATAATGCTTTTGGTATTTCATATTTAGCTTTCTGCATCTCGTTTCAACTTAGCTGGCTTTGCTGTACCATATTTAGTGCATTCAATTCGCAGAGTCATTATTTCACTTGATAAATACATACCCAACTGATGAAAATCGTATAGAGAGAGCATACAAACAATATCGGGAGTGATTTTTTCTTCCTTGAATCTCGCATATAATGAGCCAAGTCCTAAAGTTTCCAAAATATTCTTCATCTGCAAAGCTGGCGTGGAGGTGGAGGCCATCGTGACGTTAACGTAAAATATTTTTATGTTTTCGTAAGATCGCATAAACAACAAAGTTTATAAAAATTTCCGTACGAACAAACTACGGGCTCAATTAAATGACTTCATCATCATATAATGAAGTTTCATCACCATATAATGAAGTTTCATCATCATATAATGAAGTTTCATCATCATATAATGAAGTTTCATCATCATATAATGAAAACTGATCATATAAGACAGCTATGGCATTCCATACTTTCCACCTTTTAGTGTTATATCACAAGTTTTACAAAAAGTAGAAATGGCCCAGGCACGGACAATTCTCATTGGGCTGAATGGGCCAACTCAATCCTGGTATCGGATGCTGGCAAGACTAACGATTCACCAACCCATTCTCCTACCTAAAAACAAAAGCAATGTGAGCTTACCATCCAATCAAACAAAAGAGCATCCACTCAAAGGGAGCCTGAGACTGATAGCTTGTCTCTAATCCGTAGATCACTCTCAAGTATGTGCATTTCACCACAAGCTCAAGCTACAATACTTAATTCTTGGCAGCCGAGAACACAAAAACAATATCAAGTGAAACTTAACAAATGGCAACTCTATGTTAATAAACGGAATGCAGATCTTCTTCATCCAACTTTACAGGTAGTTCTAGACTTTCCACAGCACCTATTTGATAAAGGGACGAGTTACAGTTGCATAAACACTGCTCGAAGTATGTTATTATCAATCGTTGTTACTGAAAGGAATTCTACGATTGGTACACATTATATGGTTCAGATTTATGAAGGGAGTGTTCCAATCTAAACCAGCACTACCAACATATCAAGTAACCTGGGACAACTCCATTATTTTAGAGAGTATTTAAAGACATACCCTGCAACAGAAGACTTAACCCTACAACAACTTACTCATTAGTTGGTAATGTTCTGTGCATTAGTCACAGGGCAGAGTGCCCAATCACTCCACCTCATGAACCTCTTAACTGTGAAGAAGGAAGAGGACTTATACAACTTCTCTATCAACCAACTTGTCAAACAGTCTGGAACAACACACATTCAACCTACTTTAGTGATACCAAAGTTCCCTGCCGATCACCAACTATGTGTTGCCTTAGTCATGGAAGAATATATTAAATGTACTGCTCCCATTTAGGGTCAGGAAAGTCAACTATTTCTTAGCACAGTTCACTCCTTGGGGAGAATGGTACTGCCCTTCTTGTAAAACTAACTGAATGATATAACTGATTCAGACAGATTTGTACGACCACAGCACACTCGAGCAATTTTATCAATCTGTGATTTTGTTTGACCAGACCTCACAGTCAGAAACTCTACAGGTAGTACGCTTTGTAGTATCACATATTTTCTTTGCACCAGAGCAATAGCCCTTTCCACATGGATTTGTACATTGGTAATTTTACTTGTGTCTTCAATTTCTTCAGCAGACAACTGGCTTTTTCCTCTAGTAAATGCTGGGATTTTTAATGAAGCTTGATACAGTCCCACACTCTCAGCAATATTGAATCCTCTGTCCGCAAGCACAATGTCACCGGGAATAAGATTCTTTAATATTCTACTGTTAGCTGTGACATGCTTATCACTGGCCCGCCACCCCAAGCTTGGGAAATGAAGGATATCTCTCCTTGCGGAGTTATTCCTATGAGGAATTTGACTGTATTGTGGTACTTATAATTTGACCATGTGATTGCCCTTGCCATCAAGCAAGAGGGTCTATTGATATAAACCTCAAAGCAATCAACTATTACCGCAACACAGTTCCCATAGTTATGCTTTAAGCAAGCAGGCATGGTCTCAATTAATTCTTTCCGGTCTGGCGATACAATCAAAAAGTCTAATCTAATATCCAAAACATCTATTCATTTTTCAAAAATCTTAGAAACAGTGGATTTTGAGGTATTAAATCTGTAGGCAAGATCTCGCAGACAAGTTTAGTCTGATTCTCATAAAAGTAAGCAGCAGTTCTTGAAACTTATTTAGAATTTTTTGTAGCTCCAGTATATATATGTAGTGACGAATCAAACTTAGTCATAGTTGTTGTGCGTCAACGGATATACGATGTGCGTCAACAGATATACGATGTGAGTAAGCACAACAACGCGCTACAAGCTAACCACACAAGCCCGACCACAAAGCATGAAAGCACTATAACGCGCTTAGAAGGAACTAAGTCATCCCACTATTACGTGCAGGATATGACGGAGAACACTCCCTTTAGTTACTATATAAATGTACGACAAAATATAGAATAGCAGAAGAGATGAATAGAGCATAGCAAGATTCAATGTAAACTCGTATGATTAAATATAATGCAATAATACTAACGATACGTAGCAAGTGTATGATTTCGTGGCGCAAGTGCATATACCGAGGGACATGATGATCCAAATCTAACCGTTCTACGGCCCAACGTTACATTGGTGGCAGCGGTGGGATCCTTGAAATCAGCCTAAAGTCAGAGAGTCAGTGGATGACGAAGTGTTTGTGCTTAAATAAACCGACAGTTGCTACCCTGGGCTCATGTTCATTCTTTAGGAACGGATTGGATATGCATTGTAGGTCCTGTTGCTAGGTTAGTTCTTTGTCTGGGCGTATGTGTCTTTTGAGCATAATTAATGAGAGTTACGCGCTAATAAAATAAGCTGAAACATGACTGAAGAAGGTGCTAGTAGCAGCAATGTAGCTAATTCCATCCCCCATAGGGTACTTGTAATGCCAGAAGCTTTTGCAGCATCTGAAAAGGAAGACTGGATTTCGTGGCTTAAATATTTTAATAATTGCGCAAAATTAAATAAATGGGATAACGACGAGAAACGTGATTTCTTGGCCGTTCGTCTCCGGGGCGCTGCACAAGAAACATATTTTTCCTTGTCAGAGGAAGCGCAGGCGGGAACTTTTGAAGTACTTTCTGAAGCATTCAGTAATAAATTCGCACCCACAGAGCGATTAGAATTATATAAAACTGAGTTTCAAGCTAGGCGACGCGCACAGGGGAAAAAGTTAGGTGAGCTTGCAGCAGGCTTAAGTAAGATGGCTAGAAGAGCATTTCCAGGCGCACCGACAGACATTCTCGATTGTTTGGCTATGGATCGATTTATAGCGTCTTTGGGCAATGTTGACCTTCGTATTCGTCTGCGGGAAGGCAATCCAAAGACACTGGATGAAAGCTTAAGTCGCGCGATCCAGCTTGAGGCAATTTACGAGGCAGAAAACAGTGCTGCTCGTAGTAAGACGTCTCGGGTGCAGGCGGTCGAGAGGTCTAGCGATTCATGCATACTAGAGATGCTCAGCAAGCAGACTGTAGCACTTGAAAAGGTCGTAAACCTACTTACTGACCGTTCTAAACCTGAGATTCGCCACAATAACCATAGGCCAGGCAATAAGTTTAAGGGTGGTAAGAAAACTTGCTGGAAATGCGGTGGGGTAGGTCACTTTAAAGCTAATTGCCCTACCAATGAGTCAAGTGAAAAACAGGAAAACTAGGCCAGGCTGGCGCCGTGGGTCGCGTGCCAGCCGATGATTCATCCAAGACCCATAAAACAGGTTCCAAAAGCTGGGAAGGGGGTGCAGGAGTGTCAATACACAAAGTTTTAGGTTCGTACAGCGTCAATGACGGCGCGAGTC